AAAAAAGTCAGAATTGCGAGAAAAAAAGTCAGAATTGTGAGTTTTTATCTCACAATTCTGACTTTATAACTCGCAATTGCAACTTAAAGGGTTAGTTTACCCAAAAATGAAAATTCTGTCATTAATTACTCACCCTCATGTCGTTTCAAACCTGTAAGACCTCCGTTCATCTTCGGAACACAAATGAAGATATTTTTGATGGAATCTGAGAGCTGTCTGACCCTGCATAGACAGCAATGCAACTGAATTGTTCCCAAGTCCAGAAACATAGCGAGGAGATCTGTAAAATAATCCATGTGACATCAGTGGTTCATCCGCAATTATACAAAGCTACGAGAATACTTTTTGTGCGCAAAAGAAAAAAAATAACGACTTTATTCAACAATTCGTCTCCTCCAAGTCCGGATCACCCAGTAAACAGCGCATGCTGTTCTGTGTCAGCTGCGTCAGACGGATACGCTGTTTCCGTTCAGATCAAATCACAACAACGTAGGAAACAGATCCGGCGTGACGCAGCTGACACAGAACAGCATATGTTGTTTACGTCCAGCTGATACTCTCCAAAATGGCACCAGGGTGATGCGGAGGAGACGAATTGTTGAATAAAGTCGTTATTTTTTTTCTTTTGCGCACAAAAAGTATTCTCGTAGCTTCGTATAATTGTGGATGAACCACTGATGTCACATGGATTATTTTACAGATCTCCTTGCTACGTTTCTGGACTTTGGAACATTTCAGTTGCGTTGCTGTCTATGCAGAGTCAGACAGCTCTCAGATTCCATCAAAAATATCTTAATTTGTGTTCCGAAGATGAACGAAGGTCTTATGGGTTTGAAACGACATGAGGGTGAGTAATTAATGACAGAATTGTCATTTTGGGGTGAACTATACCTTTAAATTATTACAATTTTGAATCGATTGAAAACCCTAGTAGTAATGCATCCAAAGGGGTAAGAAACTCAAAGAGAGTGTGGATGCTGGGAAACAATGATGTGAGGAGACAGTTGCCCAAAGATGGGTTGGGGGGGGGAGGGGATGTGTGGATGATGTTGAGTGCTGAACTCAAACATATGTAATATTACATCAGGGTAAGTTACATCATATTATCCAGTTATGAGACTGAATATGGTTAGTTGCCTGTGGTCTGGCTGTCTGTCTAAATCAGTTTGGTACACTGAGGGCACTATTAGGGTTGTCTGGTTGTGAGCATTAAGGAATCTAAGAATGCCGGCCATGATTTTAAGTGACTAAACGAATAAATGTGACGAAGTGTGTTCTTTGTTTAAGCACCTCGCCTGCCAGGGCAAAGCTTCCTGATAAATGATCTTTTGCATAAAAGCTGACAGTTTTATCTAGTTTGTCACACTTGGCACCTCCAGCCTTTACAGCAGTCAAGGGATTAATCGTGTATGTGACTGTGACTTATAGTACTCATAACCGAGTCCATAGCAGTTGAGTTGTATTTCCCTGAATCTATTCAAAGAGCCCCTCAATGCATTCATCTGGGATAGATCGAAGGACATCTCACAAAACAGTCCTCAACACAGAGTGCATTTAGCAGGACAGGGAAGAAAAGAAGGCAAATATTTGTATAAATTAAGGATGTCCCGAGCCGATCTCAAGGATCGGGATCAGGGCCGATCAAGCATTTTTTTAACTGATCGCTATCAGCTCTCCTTAACCCGATCCTTATTTTACGTCAGCTGTAATGCCGGTGATGTGCAGTAGGTGGCAGTATTCACTTTCTAGTAGATTTGCCAACCACCATTAAAAGGAAATGAAGACGCTCAAATGTCCGTGCTTAGCTGCCATTAAAACCAAACAAAGTATATTTGATGCGCACTTTTGTAATGATCACTCATTCATTTATCGTTTACTTTTATCTGCCTTCAGACTATCTGAGACGTCGTTGTCATAACGCATTGCTATGGGTTGCGTCTTGCTTCGGTTTTGACGGACAGACACGAGCTTCATGCTTTCTAACCATATCTCCACTTTTTTACCTTTATGTTGTAATTATTCTGCTTATTGTATATATAAAATGCAAGAAGTTTACATCAGTAGTCCCATAAACTACAAATGTCTTTATACAGTGTGCAGATATATACATAGAGTATATATCTTATATATGTATACACACACATACATATATATCTTTTACTCTCTGCACAACTCTGTATACTGTACATTGGATTCATTTTAATAACTTTAATGTATTTGAATCAAGCATCAAACACTAGGAATATACAAGTATCGGATCAGGACTTGGTATCGACAGATACTCAATGACTCGGATCGCATTGGGGGCACAAAAAGCCTGATCGGGACATCCCTAGTATAAAAAGGTGTTTCTTCAACTGTGGCCATGTGGACTTTAAGAAAATATTTTCATAGAACACATTTGTCATACATCACAGGAGAATTGTTATGAAAATTCACATCACATCTCAGATTGTGTATTGTGCTGAGTAGTATTCTAGTCGAAATCGTGATGATAAAATATTATGTTTACTTATGTAACTTAAGGAGATTTACCTTAATTTTCAGGTTCACAGACACACATCACTCAATAAACGAAAATGTTTGGTGTGGTGAAAATGACGCCTTAAGTGAGGGACATCATTTTGAACAAAAATGTATATGCAATAAATACCACAACTGTTTATTTCACATTTGTTTAGACGATCGTAGTTGGGACATAAACAACAAAAAACCCTTTGGACACAAAGGTACCTGAAGTTGAAGAAACATTTCTATATACAATATATCCAAATCACCAATCTGTGGATCCGTTCATGCTTCAGACCCACACGGAATCTGCACCCACAGAAAGCTCAGCGGATTTCCTCAAAATTAAAATAAAATGCTCTACCCTTGAGCTCATTAATTAAATATTTGGACTAATATGCTAATAAATCTTTCAGCTATCACTAAGAGTACAGAATTAATCAGATATTCCCCAAATTCAGATCAGAAAATGTTGAAAACGTCAACAGATTCCATCTGGGCCTGCCATTATCCCATCCTACTGAAAGACATGCTGTTTCTGTGTGCAACTATGTAAGACTTTCAGGGTGGTCATGAGTGCGGTATCTGCTAGGGAGAGATGTTTCATTTAATGCTTGTGCTGTTCTTGCATGTTTAATATCTCTATCAGATATTCAGTAGCGCAAAGGCTTCTCTCTTGGCATATGGTATTTACCTGTAAACATGCTTTTATGGCAGACTCAGAAAGATGGATTCAAACTCAAATCAATTTTATGGTTGCTGTCATGTCCAATATATCACACACAGTACAACTAATCGATAAACAGTCACCTCTAAGCTCTCCTTGAGAAACACTCAATATGTTCCCGTAACCCGTGCTACTCACAGAAGTCCTTTCATATGTTCTCCCACATACTGCCATGTTTACAACGGCATGTTCACCAAAGCAGCATGCTTGAAACCCATGAAGGCACAAGTGCTGCATGGGAGGACTTTAAACGGATAGTTTAGCAATAATATCACAATGGTGGCAAGATAAGTACCGGTCCTCTCTGCAGCAGTTGTCCCCTCACACCCAGTGCCTTTTTCCACTGCATCAGTGATTTGGTTTATCTGTGTTTACCCTGCACTGACTCTTCTGCTGTCTGTCTGTATGACTGTATCAACAGAGGCCCAGCAGAGACCGTACTATGCAGATTACTCTCCAGCCCGGCTCTACATCCACACACTGTGTACCAACCACTACCTGGACCTCTTCATCACCTGCATCATCTGCATCAATGTGGTCACTATGTCTATTGAGCATTTCAATCAGCCTCACGTGAGTCTACAAACACTTTGAATCTCAATTAGTTTGATCTAGTGATCTACAGTTGCATAAAGCTGCATTTCATCATTTAAAACCAAAAAGAAACAAACTTTAAAAGTGTTTGTAGACGTTCTATAAAATAAATGACACCCGGGCCAGATTCACAAAACATTCTTAAGAATAAAGTTACAAATATTTTGTTTTTCAAAAACATTCTAATAAATGTTCTTATATTCTTTTCTTAAGATTGTTCTAAAGGCAATTAAAAATAATTACCTTAAGAACTTTTTCTTAAGATTTTCTTGTATCTGGCCCTTAGTTTGATATTTTTATATAATGCAAAGACATTTATGCATTATTAAATGTGGTTTAAGCGTCAAAATACTATTTTCCTGTAAATTGCAGCATTAAAACGGCTGAAATCATTGTTTCTATCTCACACAGTACCTTGAAGAGGCACTGAAATACTGTAACTATGTCTTTACCATCATCTTCGTAATTGAGGCTTTACTCAAGCTTGTGGCATTTGGTTTTCGGAGATTCTTCAAAGACAGGTATTCTGACCTACTATATGGCTCAATAGATGTCTAATGTGAATGTAAATACACTGTAAATAAGATAAACAACATACATATGAAGAGTTCATTTGCAAAAACCGATAAACGCCACTTTCAAAAGAAAATGAGCTGATTGCCGTGCATTATTCTCCACATATAGCGCGATCAGAACCCTAAACACGTTTTGTCAAAAAAGCCAGTTTTGTCCACTTTCAATGCATCCCGAGTTCACGTTTTACTGCAGAAGCCGACGACCGCCCTTGTTGTTTTTGAACAGAAGCCGCCAAGTCCATTTTAGCGAATCAGCGCGCTGTATTCAGGTCAGGTGACAAGGCTACGTTCACTTTGAAAAGACGTGCTATCTGAGAGGAGTTTCGTCAAAGCTAACTAAGCCCCGTTCACACTAGCAGCGACTTTTGCATGTCGCCAGGGGCTGGCGATGAGGTTGCTAGTGGGCGTTCTCAATACTGGTTGCCTTGACAGCGAATCAGGTTTCTTGCCGCTAAGTACAAACATTTTGGAGGCAAAAGACTAAATATAATCTAAATCTAAATTAAATCCGTACATACAAACAAAAATGAATGAGAAACAGAGCCTACTTTCTTCCATTGCGTATGTTTATCTACGGCGCGAGAGGAGAACGATCACATGAGCTCTACCATCTTCTTTCCTACTGGCTGTTGCTCCCGAAAGTCGCTCTTCATTTGCATAAAATTGAAGGATTCTGAACTTTGTCGCGTCACTGGACACACCCCATCCGGTCGCCAACGGTCGCTGTCGCTTGCTATCGCTCGTGTCGCCGGAAATCGCCAGCTCTCCATTGAAATGAATGGGATCGTGTTGCTTTGACGTTGCGTGTCGCTTGTAGTGTGAACAGGGCTTCAGCTGGATCCTTGGTGAATCTGGAGTGGGGTGGGTCCTTAATAAGAATGATTTTTTTTTTTAACCATTCTTTTAAACAATCTTAAACGTATTCACACGCACACTACGGTCACGCAGTTTGCACAAAAAGGTGTTGTCAGCGCAGCCCTGACGATTTTATCAGTTAGCCTATATAGTGTAGCAACTTAAAGGCTACACATGACATTTCTCACTAGCCAGGTAATAACAGCACAGTTTAGAGACGCTGCTGCAGAACACTGTTGCTCTCTCTCTCTCTCTTTCTCTGTGTGTCTCTGTCTCTCTTGCCCTCTCTCTAATAACTTCATTAATAACTCCATTAGAATGCTATCAACGGCTCAAGATGTTTGCCTATAAAAAGAGAAAAACATATGTAAGGGGGGAAAAAATAAAAACTTTAAAGTGGTTCAAATATTGACTTATCTTAAGATATATAGTTTATACTCTTTATTTGGTACAGAAATGCAAAACTCACCCTTCATCCAGTCTCAGACTCACAAGCGTGTGC